ATATTGCACTTTTATAATGTTGAATACTAGCCATTTCCATTTTTTCAAGAATTTGGTGAATAGTTGTGTATCAGGTTTGGAGTATTTTTTCTTACCACAGAGTCCAATAGCAGCGATTTTTGAAACTGCCATTAGTTTTTCCCATAAAGAAAAACTGCTTAGACCCAGAATTCCATATATGGGCATGACAGTCAGCCAGTCAGTAAACAGCCGTCTACAGAACTCTATGGATATGTGAGCTTGAAATAGTGGAGTTGATAGAATGCTAATGACGGTGGCAGAGAATGAGTGCCATCGGGTGCCAGTTGGCGTTACAGAAATGGAATCTTTGGTTGAGGCCTACAGCTGACTGAGAGGGCACCAGGCCAGCAGCTCTGAGAGAAGCTATAGAGGGAGAGGGAGGGTGAAAGGGACTCTGGGAGAGTGCCGGAGTCAGAATGAGGGAGAGGACTCACAGCCCCCCGCTCGCTCGCGAGAAATAAAGAGGCCTCGGGCGTTTGTTTTCTGAGAGGAATTACAAGCAGAGGGGGAACTCGAACCCTCCAGCAACTGAAAGGCAAATCCTTGCCGCTTTCTCCGCCCCACCAGCGTCCCCCCGAAAGACACGCAAGAGAGGATTACACCCTGCTGTAGCGGTTTAGTCCTGACAGACAGCCCGACAGACAGCAAGCGCTTCTCTCTCTCTCTCGAGTGTTGAGAGAAAACGATCGGAGAGCGTTTCCGCTTGACGTTGATGATTTGCTTTGGCTGTGAATGTAAGCCCACCGAGGGTGAAAGTGGCACGCCGGAATCAAAAGAGGCTTTTTTTCTCTATTACACTCGCCTGAGAGAGAGGTTAAACTTTGGAAGGCTGCAGAGGATAGAGGCGAGATAATGCCCTCTTGCTGAAGCTGCCGTAGCCGCTTCCTCTTCTGGCAAAAAGACACTGAATAGAACGTTCTAGAGGGTTCCTGCCTCACACTGTGCCTCCCATCTTTTCCCATGTCAATATTTAGACAGTGTTTTCACTTCCATGTTGGGACAAGTGTCTTCAAGCCCTTTGAGAATGAAACTAAGCCACGATACCAAGAGTTGAGTTTGTAATGGCGTAGTCGACACAATTTTTTCTTGTAATGCAAATAGTCCTTCTCAAGCCTTACAACTAGACCTACAATGTGTGGACCAACAATTCATTACTCTCATCGTTTTCATCGTCTAAAAGTTTTTTCAGGGTAGACAGAGAGAAATATTGCTACTAGAGATGAATAATGTAATAATTTCCAAATAATGTAAAAATGTAAGAAATGTGAAACACATTTGTACTTGTTCAAAAATGTAATAAAACCCTACAGTTAAATTTCTCTATGACAAAAATAAATCAGGTTTTCTAAAATCGCCAATATTGTGCCTTGTGGTGAACAGAAAGGTTCCAGTATGTTTGCTCCAATATGTTTGTGTACATTTTTCAACTGACCATCACCCGATCCTCTGAATTACAAGGTCATTGAGCAATCAAAATATGAATAATTTCACATATATGCTACAAGCAAGCTAACATTCCTGCACACTGAAATATCATTGCATAAAAATAAGTCTACTATAAAAACTTTCATATTATTATATACCAAGACCAGCTACAATGCTAGCCTAAAATTGCCAAAGCAACTTAACTATCACGTTTGACAATAGCAACAGTCATCTTTCGGCTCCTTAATGACCTCATAATTCAGAGGATTAAGTGACATTTGGGGAAAAAATGTATATATGGCAAAACGTGTCAAATTTGGAGAATTTTTCTTTGCCACAAGGCACAACAGGGACCATTTTTTGACGACACCATTCATTTTCCCCATAAAGAAAACCTGCTTAGACCTGGTGTTCCAAATATAGGCATGACGCAGACTACAGAATGGTGACATGAAGTCTATATCCATCCCATGTAGTTTTTCGAAAGCTCTTCCTACCATCAAGATACATCATCAGAAGGGAGTTTTCCTAGGATTTAAACTGGAAAATCCCAGTCTAGAGAGTCCCATGGAGCCCACTGTAGCATGTGAGTAAGAATGTTTACGACGGATGTAGTGATGGTTACATTTTTCATTTTGGCCAGAGTGCCCCTTTAAGTCATATCCCAGCAAATAATTAAATAAATAAATACATAAATACATAAACCAAGCCCTCATGAGAAACATTTGTCCTCCACTTTTTGCACCACTTCTTTCACTCTACATTAAAAATGCTTTTTTGCCCTAATGCTAGGTTCAATAATTTGTCGTCACATAAAATAGACTGGCAGTCCTATTGTACATCCACATCATAAGCAGCCAGCCATATTTATAATGAATGATATGCTTATTAGGCAGATAAAGGATTGGTGTGAGCTCAGTCGGAAGACTTTAAAATTGCGTTCTGAATAAAAGTTGTATTTTAATGGTACCAAAAGAGCCATAATATAATTATTATATCTGTAAAAAATCACTCTAGAACTGTTGCTATCACACTCTCAGGCTAGCATCTGACAGATTAGCTGGGAGGACTCTGACAACACAGCAGACTAGCTTCTATGCCTTTGCTATATTCATCGCTAAGCTAAGCATGGCTAAAACACGAAAGGCTAGCCTGTTATACACTGACAACACAACAAACCAGCTTCTCCTTAAAGACGTTTCCTTCATTTTGATGCATTTGCTATGTTCAATGCTAGGCTAAAGGAAGCTAAATGACACTTAAAGTCTGAGACACGGAAAACACAAACCTTCTCAGGTGCAAGACTTTGTGAATTAGCACGACACTCGAATTACCACTTGAATTACCACATACAGTGATAGCCTTCATGCTAATGAATGGACACCCACAGTGTTAGCATTCACTGGTGATGAATTAACATCCACATTGCTGAATTCAAACACCTACAGCATTGAATTAGCTCTTGCCTGTTAGTTACAGCTTGAACAGGGAAGATGAACTCTTATAGTGTTGACTGAACACCTACATTGTTAAAATGATGCTAATGTTATACAAGCGCTAAAACAAAGCTAACTCCACAGCGCTTATTTTAGCTCATATAGGGCCAGTTTCCTGGACATGGACTAGTCTTGGCCTGAATTGCAGTGCCGATGCTGGATTATTGTAGGAAATTCTTTTCAGTCCAGGTTTAGGCTTAATCTGGATTTGGTTACTGGGCTCATAGTGTTAACTTAACATTTACAATTTGGAACCAACGTTAAATGAAATGTCTTTGTGGTGTTGAATGAACATCTATAGAGATAAACTCCTGGAGCATCAGATGAACTCTTGCAGTGTTAAAACCAAACACCAATAGTGCTTAAGTGAAGTCAAGTGTTACATTTATTACTTTTCCTTCAGTGTTTAAAGAACACCTGCAGAACCTCGTTTCTAGTCCTTATGGTGTCAGGTTGAACGCACACAGTGAATTTGAGCTCCCACAGCGTTGAACGGTAACTGCTACGGTACTGAATTAGAGCACCTGCTGTGTTAAATTAGCCATAACAGTTTTAAATCTTAACTCATACATGGCAGCAACTACAGTGTTGAGCTCTTCCAGTGTTGAATAAACACTACAATGCTTCAATTTAGCGTCCGCGGTATTGAGCTGGTGAATTTCGACTCCTGCAGTGTTGAACTATAACTGGGGTTGGGCAATATGACAATATTTGTCATCATTGTAATAAGTTACTTCACATAATGTCTCAGTATGCTTGGTGGATCATGTGAGGACCTAAAGATAGTGACGTGCCATCAGAATCAGCTGAAATGGACGATTTCTGCTCCAAACACAAATCGCCAACTCATTATTTTCATTTCAGATGACATATATAACAATTTAATGATGAAAATAATATGAATCAGGTGAGTTTTGTCATATTTGAATGTCGCTGCTTCACCTCTAACAAAATGTCTTTGCTAGTTTGTAAAGGTCAAATTCCCATTAATTAGCAAAGGTGGTGATAAAAAGTGGCCGGAGGAAAAAATTGGAATCGGAATTGGCGATAAAATTCATGATCGGTACAGACCAACTTCAAGAACACTGGCCAACAGTGTGTTTCATTACAAATAGAGCTTCATTCATTGTTTTTTTTCTCAGACCAAAAGTTTTGTTTAATTGGATTTAAATAAATATCATTGTGAAGTCTGTATTATTTTAAATGTGACACTAGTGGTGCTTTCCTGACTGTTCCAACTCATCAAACTTCAGAAAGACTAAAAATCAGTTGAGTTTCATGATATATTTTTCATCACCCTGAACTTTTCACAAATATCTGCAAATTTTATGGAAACCAAGATCAACATTAGATGCTAAAACTCAGGGGACACTCAGAAGACACGTGTAGGTTCACTGGTGGTTTTGGATAGTAAAATAAAATGTCTATATTTGTGTTGTAGTCATGGCGACCCCTGGTTCCTATCACCACCACGGTAAAGAAATCTGACCCATTTCATACCAGACCACTCTAAATCACTCTGTTTACATCTCAAACACTTAAAAAAGATGGTTCTTCAAGGGTTCTTAAGTAAAGAAATGAGTTCTATTTAGAACTATGAGTTCTATATAGAACCATTTCATGCTTAAATGTTTTTTTTGCATGGTTCTAGATAGCAACAAAAGGGTTCTGTTACAGTATCAAGCTCTTAACAATAGAACATTTGAACATTTTTGGTGCTATATAGGACAATTTTCGAAAAAGTTCTATACAGAACTATATACAACACATTCTCCATCAATCTGAGGAACCATTTCACCATGGAAAGAACCACTGGTTCTATATAGAACTCATGGTCCCAAATAGAGCCATTCCTTTTAGTAAAGAACCCTTGAAGAACCGGGTGTGGAGACCTTTTGGAATCAGTGGAAGTCCACTTTAATCTGTCTAGTGTTGGTTTGAGTATCTACAGTGTTGAATTAGCGTGTCCACTGTTGGCTGTTGTGCATTGAGTCACCTCGACCCCCAGGGTTTTTAACAAGGTTAAACCCCACCTCGCACCCACACCGGTGGTCCTACCTGCTTGCGAGGCTCCCATCCCGACAGCCACGGCGGCGAGCAGCAGCCAGTGCAGTAGCAGCCTTCTCCTCCTCCTCACCATCATCATCACCATCATCATCATCATCATCATCATCATCATCATCGCTCCTCGCGCGCTGTAGTGTTTACTCCCGTTATGTTCACATGTTCAGGAGCTTATCTGCTCCTCCGGTCCACGCGGCACAGCCTCGCGCGCCTCCACATGTCCGTGCACGCCGCGCGCAGTGAATGTGTGGCTCCGTTCCACGCGCTGCCGTTCTCTAGAAAACTTGAGTCCGCTTCACGAGGCGCTCGCGCTCGGACTCAGGCGCTCAAGTTCAGCTCCGGCGCCGCGCTTGGCCACGCCCACCCAGACTCGCTAACCGCGCCCAGGAGCGACCGGATAGGTCAAGGCCGGGAGGAGCAACGCCCACCGCGAAGCTCATTGGCCGGCAGTTTCGAGTGAAGCGCTTGGAGTTTTCTTCACGCGGAGTGTTACTGCGTTCATACCGTCCACCTGCTGTAGTGTGTGTGTGTGTGTGTGTGTGTGTGTGTGTGTAGAGAGAGAGAGAGAGAGAGAGAGAGAGAGAGAGAGAGAGAGAGAGAGAGAGAGACAGAGAGAGAAAGCAGGGAAAGAAAGAATGAAGTTGTGAAAGAAAAACAGATAAAAGTAGAGAGAGAGAGAAAGAAATTGAGAAAATGAAGAGGGAGAGAGACAGAGACAAAGGGGAAAAAGAGAGAGAAATAACAGAAGAGAAGAGAGACAGAGAGAGAGGAGAGAGAGAGAGAGAGAGAGAGAGAGAGAGAGATTGAAAGAGGGAGAGAGACACAGAGGTGTAGGCAAAGAGAGAGAGAGAGAGGGAGAGAGAGAGGGAGAGAGAGAGATTGAAAGAGGGAGAGAGACACAGAGGTGTAGGCAAAGAGAGAGAGAGAGAGAGAGAGAGAGAGAGAGAGAGAGAGAGAAGAAAGACAGAGAGATAGAGAGAGAGAGAGAGTGCAGGGAAAGATAGAGAGAGAGAGTGCAGGGAGAGAAAGTATGAAGAAACTTGAAGAAAATGAAAAAAGTGAATAAATGGAATGAGAAACATTGAAAGAGGGAGAGAGACAGAGACAAAGGGGAAAAAGAGAGAGAAATAACGAAAGAAAGAGAGAGAGAGAGAGAGAGAGAGAGAGAGAGAGCAAGGGAGAGAAAGATAGAGAGAGAGCAGGGAAAGAAAGAATGAAGTTGTGAAAGAGAAACAGATAAAAGGAGAGAGAAAAGGATACTGAGAGAATGAAAAAAGGGAATAAATGGAAAGAGAAAGATTGAAAGAGGGAGAGGAAAGAAAAGAAAGAAAGAATGAAATTAGAGAAAAAGAAAAAGTGCGTAAACAGAAAGAGAGAGTGAGAAGAAAAGAATGGACAGAACACACATCTAGAGGACTAGTAGAGAAGAGAAAGGAAGGAAGAGAAACAGAGAGGGGAGAAAAAAGAAATGGAGTAAGAGAGAAATGGAAAGAAAGAAAGAAAGAAATAAAGAAAGAAAGAAAGAAAGAAAGAAAGAAAGAAAGAAAGAAAGAAAGAAAGAAAAAGGGAAGAGAGAGGAAAGGAGTACAGAGAAAAGAAAAGAGGACTAATCTAATGGACCTAAAGACAGTAGTGAATAATAGAAGAATGGAGGCAGTATAATGAGTAAGAATGGAAAGAAAGAAGGAGAGCTAGAGAGGAATGGAGAGGGAGAAAGAACAAAGAAATAGAGAGAGAGAGATGAGGGCAATGGAGAGAAACTGAGTGAATGAATGGAAAGAGAACAGGAGAGAGAAAAAAAACAGAAGTAAAAAGTAAAAACTAGGAAGAAAGAACAGAATGAATAAACAAGGAGAGAGGGAAAGAGAAAGAGAGAAATGGAAACTTTTTTAGAAAGAAAAAAGAGAGAAATGAGAGAGAGAAAAAAATAAGAGACAAAAGAAAACTAAAAAATGGAGAAATGGAGGACTAAAAAGAATGAGAGAGAGAGAGAGAGAGAGAGAGAGAAAGAGAGAGAGACAGAGAGAAGAGAGAGAGAGAGAGAGAGAGAGAGAGAGAGAGAGAGTTTTGATGACTTTTTAAGAATCAAGCAATAAATAAATAAATAAATAAATAAATAAATGAAAAAATTGAAAGTAAAGAAAAGTTTTTGCTTTATCCTGTAAAGATACTATTTTGGAGGTACTTGTTTATCTATAAACAGATATTAAATGAGTCAGTAAATAAATCCGTGAACAAATTAAAAGTCCTCACTTCCTCATTTATAATAAACCTGTGCATCGGCTGTTGTGCTGGACTGTGTGCAGGCGGCTTTTATCAACTGAGAGGAGCTTCCAGCTACATCCCTGTGTCTAACGAGCGCCGTCAGGCTGTGCTGGCAGTGCAGCCCGGAGATAATGTGACGCTGGCAAAGGCAGGGTTATTGATTTATTATTGAGGATTGATTTTCAGAAGCTGGATGGTGGAGGTCTGCTAGCGCCTTCAGGAGACAGTGGCTGCAGAGCCATTGATTACACTATCACTGCCAGAACACAGTCAAATCCGAAGCCTCCTGAAAAGATGCAGTCAAAAAAGTGTCCCGGAGCTCCGGCGGTTTGGAGGACACTCTGGAACAGTGCTCTGGCAGCTGGCAGCGGCAGGGAAAGTGGGAGTGAAGCTCTTCTTTGAGGAACACAGTTGTTATTTGCACCTAATTGAGCTGCTGAAGGCTTTATTAGACTGGTGAGTTGAGTTTGGAGAATCTGGACGAGACAAGCAGCATGGGCAGTGGAGGGGCTGGAATAAGGAACGGTTCTGGACTGTTAGTTGGTCTGTTACGTCTTCAGAACCACTAGAGGCTCCACATTTCACCTCTGAATCAGCTATATATATATATATATATATATATATATATATATATATATATATATATATATATGATGTACACCGATCAGGCAAAACATTATGACCACCTCCTTGTTTCTACACTCATTGTCCATTTTATCAGCTCCACTTATCATATAGGTGCACTTTGTAGTTCTACAGTTACAGACTGTTTCTCTGATACTTTGTTAGCCCCCTTTTACCCTGTTTTTCAGTGGTCAGGACCCCCATGGACCCTCGCAGAGCAGGTACTATTTGGGTGGTGGGTCATTCTCAGCACTGCTGTAACACTGATGTGGTGGTGGTGTGTTAGTGTGTGTTGCGCTGGTCTGAGTGGATCAGACACAGCAGTGCTGCTGGAGTTTTTAAACACCTCAGTGTCGCTGCTGGACTGAGAACAGTCGACTCGTTGATCCGCTCGTACCAGCACAACACACACTATCACACCACCACCACGTCAGTATTAATGAAAATAAGTCAACACGGCCTCTGCAGGTAACAAACTTTAATGCACAATTTCTTTTTATTTGCTGACATATGACACATATATATATATATATATATATATATATATATATATATATATATATATATATATATATATATATATCACATACGGCAGGTTGATAAAAGAATAAAAAAATATGTTTTGTGCAAAATTCATGGCAAATTATAAATTTTATTTTATTTTTGTAAATTTGTATTTATGTAAATTGAAATTGTGCACTAAAATTTCCCATATTCAAGTTCACATATTGACCTATTTAGCCTAGAAGTTTAGCCCTGCCCGTTCACACTGAAGTGAATAAGCCTACTTCTAAAAAAAAAGTTGAAAACCAGGGGGCCAAACACTGACTGTACATTTAAAAGGATGCCAAAAGTCGTAATCAGGAAAACAAACGGTCAGTCAGCAAAGTTGCCAGTACCAAACTGTCAATTGACCAATCAGGTTATCTTTTTTTTTAGGTGTTCACAGATTTTTTTACTATCTTGCAGTTGGTTACATGAGGGCTATGCCGCACCACAATGGCTGCATACAAGAGCTCAGGTTAACATAAATTTCATATTATATACAACATTTTATAATACATATTATTTATATTATGACTTTTTTTGTTTGTATTTTAAAAGGCAAATTACATATTTTGAAATTATAGCTCATGTTAGGCTACTTCTGACTGCTAACTGTTGTCCATCCTTTTCACACTGTTTGCCACTTCTTTGAGCTTAGAGTGTAAAAATGAAAGAATTTTTTATTCAATTGATAAAAGAAATATTATTTAGATATGAGTAATTGTTGAGTCTCTGAAAGAGAGTTACGGTTGAGTCTTGCTGCATCGGTGACAAAAAAAAGTGAACCATAAAATGATAGAAAATTCATACATAATTGTCATCAACTGTAAATGTACAGTGTTTTTTACGGTATCTTTTCGTATTTTATTGTGCAAATACAGCCATGGTGTCAAATCACCATCACTTAACAGCAATGTAAGGGATTTAACCAGACAAGACTTCACAGCAACTGCACTGCTATTTTTAAAACCTTCAAATTTATGGACTTCACGTTTATGGATGCTACATTTTACGGTAGATTTCACGTAAATACTTTTTAAAAATTTTCCATTATATGGGAGGCCAGTTTTGCATTGTATTTGAGTTTAAAGCAAATAAATGAATTAAATAATTAAGGTCATAATCAACAGACCTCTTACGTGCTCGTAATGGACGCTCATGATAGACGTGGTTCTTTTGCAGAGACTTCTTCAGTCTAATATTGTACAGTAAAGCAGTTGAATTCAGCAGAGTGTAGCAGGCATTCAGATCATCCTCCAGAACTCGAGGGCTGGCTGCCAGTAATTCCCCAGCATTCTCGGCTCGGAGGCCTCCGAGGCGAAGGATGAGAGAGACCCACATTCGATGCCAAGATTTGTAATGGAGGGGCTCATAACCTATTGATTTCTCCTCCTACTCAACCCTTGACATAGGCCTCGTACGCCACCCCAGACACTTTCGGTGTTCAATCTTCATAAACTTCCCCAGAACAAGAGACTAATCGAATAAATTGTGATCAAAGTCTGCGTAAAATGTATTGTAGTTCAAACAGAAATGGTCAATAGCAACTGGAGCCGGTAGCAAAAGTCAAGGTTATCGGCCTTTTAAAAGTGGATTGTGGAGGAGCATCGAAGAACAATTCAGGGAGAGCTCAGCACTCGGAGCTACACTCAGGCTGGGAAAAGCAGAGGTTGGAAGCCAGTCAAGAAAATCTAAATTACAAAGTAGCATGTCGGTTTGGTGTAAAAGGCAGCGTAACATCGTTGGCCTCTGATATCAAAGCAAGAAGTAATTGAAATACAGTGAGCTGCTTATTTGTGTCCTTGCC